GAACGTGGGGCTGGGAGGAGCTCTTTGTCTCACTGTCCCCGTCTCTGGGCCAAACCTCAGCGTGAGCTGGACGGGCCCGAGAGTGACCTGTCCCTTTGTCATTGGCCAGTGACCAGAGTAGCATCCACCAGCAAGCACCCCTGGTGGCTGAGGCTTTAGCTTTAATGATCTGGGACGGTGGTTTTCTGGTCCCTTCTCCAGCAGGAGGCAGGCCCAGAGCCTCACTGCACCTTTTCTTGGTGACCCAGGGCATCGAAGGAACACCCGCTGCCGCTCACACAGTGAGCCCTTAGAAGGTGCTGAGGTGTGTAGGACTGTTTGCCCCAGACCACTAATGTTGAGTTCCTGTGTTTGCTCTCACCATAACCCCCTTTTCCTGCTGAGGCAAGTGGCTTTTGTTTTCACGCGTCTGCCCGTCAGCGTTTCTCTGCTCCCCCACCCCTTTGTTTTCTGATACACGCTGCCTGCCGCCAGACTCTGTGCAGGCAAGCGGTCCCTCAGGCCGCTGGGAGTGTGTCCGCAGGGTGTGTCGTTGGCGATGGCCTTGGGGACAGCTGTTTGCACTGCTGAAACTTTTACTCATGGCTCTCCTAGCCAGTGAAGTTGCTGGAAAGTGAGATGTGTGTATAGTATGTTTTAGAAGAAGTCAAGTGGGTTCTTCCCTTGTTGTAGGAAATTCCATGGTATAAAATGATGAGGCAGAGGTCACTGCGAGCTCACCATAGAGACAGCTGGCCTGGCCTTTTTGTGAATATATGGCGGGGAGTGGAGACTGGCCTAGAACTGGGCGCTGTTTGCCTCCGGCTTTCCTTTTTCTCCGCCTGTGACCCTGAGCTTCTCTCCTTCATCCTGCCTGTCCTCTCGCCCCCTCTCTCCATCTGTGAAGGGAGGGTGACATTGAGGTCAAGGGCAGCCCTATGACCCATGTGTTTAATTTCCAGGTGATCGAGGCTGACCACGACATGCAGAAAATGTTAGAGCTCTTTGAACGAAACCGGGACCGAATATTAACTTCAGGGAATCAGAAGCATGGTACATAGGACAGGAAAGAGCATGCCAGAAAAATGCCCGCTGCTGCTCAGTTAGCCGTCTGGAAAAGCCCAGTTTGGGGGGGGGTTTCTGTCTGGCCAGATGTGTTCTCGAATGGCCCTTGCTTCTCTGTCACAGCCTCCGTCCTGGGTCTTTGGCTTGTGGGTAAATGACAAATAGGCCGTGCGGAACCCGTGAGTTTGCGGTGACCCTTGGTCCCTCCCCTTGCAGTTTCCGAGGACCCCGGGTTCCTCTGATTAAGGGAAGAGCTGCCGAGATCTGCCGGGCTCAGAAGCTCTTAACTCTTTGGACCCCCTGGGAGCGTGAGGCAGGTTTTTCCCTCCCAGGGAGGGAGCTCAGCTCAGGACCACCCGGTGACAGTGGGTCTGACTTTTGCTGACCATCCGGCTGACTGCCAGATGTCCTCCTGCCCCAGGCCCCCTCACCTGCATGCTGCTCCCCCACAGGCCAACTTTCCTGCTGCAGACCCCCATATTTTTGGGGAGAAACAGCAGCGCACAGAGCTAGTAGTATCCTCTGGGCATCCTGGGGGGGCCGTCAGCGCTTGTGTGCCACACTGGCGTGAGCCCAGCGTTCAGTGGTTTCCCGGCATGAGGCCACTGTGGCATTTACCATCTCATCATCTGGACTTCAGTGTCCTCAGGAGAACCGGGCCTTGGCTCCTGAATGGTGCTCGGTCTCCTTGGTGACGGAGGGCCTGCTCGAGCTTCTGCCAGTTCCGTGTCAGGGAAATGGCTTTTGGCTGGTTTGTCTGATGTTGAGCTGGGGCAGGGGGCCCCCAGCCCTGGTTTTGGAGGCTTCCTTGCTCCCCAGTGGCCTTGTGTGAGGAGCTTCAACCTTGGAATCACTGAGAATTTGTAGCCTGGGGCCCAGACACAAGTAGCCTTAAGACTTTTGCAAATGTTTTTCCATCCATGTTGCCCCTCTGTGCCACGGGGCATGAAACCGTCTTTCCCGGTTCAGAGTGAGCTTCACCTGTTAGAGCCGGGAAAGGAAGAACCGGCTCCTTGCGGACAGCCCGCATCGGAAAGCCAGGACTTGCCTGCCAGACTCTTCTCGAAGCACCAGCGCTCTGACGTCCTGGCAGCGGGCACCCGGAACTTCAGGAAGACTGCGGGCAGGGCCACCTGCGAACTCCGGGCACACAGGCCCCAGCCCGTCCCCGGCAGCAGCTGGCTGCGAAAGGAGGTTGGAAGCTCTGCCCGTGCCTCTGGGGCGCAGGGCCCGTGCCCCCAAGCAGCTGACCTGGCCCTGGGACCCATCCCAGAGGACAAACCCCCTGGCCCCTTGTCCTTCCCATTTGGATCAGTTCTTGGGCCTTGTAGGCAGGACACGGGGCAGCAGCCAGTGGGACAGTTGGTGTCCAAATACCAGCGGAGACCAGAAAGCCGGAGAGGCGAGGGCCTCTGCCTGGGCACTCCGGACTGGAGTGGGGCATTCTCTGGGGATCTGTAAACACACCCTCCTCTGTTCTCTCAGCTCAATTTGAGTACCTGTTTTGGAGGAAATGGGCCTTCTTTTTGAAAGTTGGCTCAGTGGTAGCCAATAAATGCTCAGGAAGCCTAACCCCGCCTAAAGCCTGATGCTCTCCAGGTCCAGCCTGTGTCAGCTCCCTGGCCCTCTCGCCACAGATAACGTTCCGACACGTTAACCACCGTGTGTCCTGACTGGGGTGCGGGGTCCAAAAGAGCCCAGGGCCCCCCGAACCTGGCCCCCCAGAGATGCCCGTATATATAGCCGCAGCTTGGTCACACAACCTCCCAGTCCAGAGATGTCACCGGACATGGTCTCTGGCCCCTGCTTGCTGCTCTGTGTGGCCGGTGGCCGGCGTGGGCAGGGCTGATGGCACGCGGGAGGCACAGGCCCGGCCCGTGGTGTCTGTGGAGCGGCTGCTGCACTGGCCGCTCAGTCAGGCGGGCCGGCGCCGCCTCGGCTGTCCGCCGCTTGCTAATTAGGAAAAACAGAAACCTCAAACAGCGTAGATACTTTTCTTTCCAGTCGGCGTTTTTAGCAGACTCATTCCAGTTTATACGTGAACGGATGACTCACGTGGCACTGACATGATTGGCCCCCTCAGAAATACCGTATGTGCCCGGTGATCATTTTTTTAAGCAGGAGAGAAGCCCACTTTCACTGAGGTGTAAAGGAAGTGTGGTGGTGGGCCGTGCGGCCGGTGTGTGGCGCTGAGGCGGCCCCCCCCCTCACCCCCTCGCTCCTTC